TTTCATGTTTAAACAAGAAAGAACTGTCTCGCCTGCAGTTAGTGCAGAACTCTGCAGCGAGAATCCTGACCCGCACCAGCAGGAGGTCGCACATCACCCCTGTCCTGAAAGCTCTTCATTGGCTGCCAGTGTCCTACAGGATACATTTTAAAATTCTGGTTTTAACCTTCAGAGCTTTGCACTGTCAGGCCCCGTCTTACATCAGTGACCTGATCCAGCCTTACACCCCAGCCAGGGCTCTGAGGTCTGTGGATCAGAACCTCCTGATGGTTCCACGCACTCGCTTCAAGACCAGAGGAGACAGGTCCTTCCAGGCTGTTGCTCCCAAGCTTTGGAACGTTCTCCCGCTCTCTCTGCGTTCTATTGAGTCTGTTGAGTGCTTCAAAAGTCAACTTAAAACCCATTTATTTGTTCAGGCTTTTGCGTAAGTTTGTCTTGCTGTATTCTTTTACATGGTTGTCTTGGCCTTTAAAAATTTGTATGTCTAATTTACATGTCTGTTTTTATACTATGTGAAGCGCTTTGTGACCCTGGTCTGTGAGGGGCGCTATATGAATAAAGTTTACTTACTTACTTACTTACTATTAGTAATAAAACAAATATAAAAAAGACATACTGTAACATACATTATTTATGATTGTTACAGTAAAGACCAATTTCTGTAAAAGCAAATAAAAAAAGAAAAACATATGTATTCATTAAAAAAACTCACAAATCAAAGTCTGTAGCAGTTCGATATGGTCATCATTATTTATATTGTCTGAGAGTTTTGTGCAGGTACTGCAGGTTTGTGGCTTCAGTAAAAGTTATTGTTCGTTTGCAAAGCTGGTCTGGATATTTGTTGACGGTCCCTAAGTGCTTTTCTCGGCGCTTGCAGTGCATTGGATTCAGAGGATTTCTCTGCATTAAAACAGCGCATTGAATTTGTAAAATCAACGTAGAGATGATCATTTTAGCACAATTACTTTTGTTTAACAAAGTAGCTTTCCTGAGCTATTGACCGCGGAAGTCCGAATCTGGGAAAATGACGCTACTTTACCAAACTTCTGCCGTGATGGTGCTGCGGGCACGGCCCACGCTGGCGACTGTCAACATTAAACCAACGTCTGTGATCAAGCCTACGCCCCTTTGACACTGATTGGCCGAAAGGTAGATGCTTAAACTGATCATTACTTTGTGTTTGCGTGTGTCGCGCGTGTGACATGCAGTGAGTGAGTGATGCATTTGAGGTGGCTCTGAAAATACGGGACAAAAGCCGTCCTGTATCAGTTCAATACGGGACGCACATAGTTTTTCTATAATACGGGACAATTCTGTTTTTCAAGGGACGGTTGGCAACCCTAGGGGGGTGGCAGTCAGAGCTGCACCCAATTCACATTGCACCAGCCACTCACTGATCCTCCTGTAGGTGGTGAGTCCACAGGAGCCTTGATTATTCAGCAGGGGCTTCAGGCAAAGTGGGGTTAAGTGTCTTGCCCAAGGACACAACGACAGCAGACATCAGTGGGAATCATGAAGAAGGTCTTGTGGTGGGCTCAAACCCACAACCTTCAGCCTTTTAGGCCAATGCTCTACCAACTGAGCCACTGTCGTCTCGGTAAAACCTTTGGGAGCTAACTATTTTAATTTGCAGTCATTGAATACATTTCGAATTATAAGGGCTGTCTAATATTTGTTCAAATATATATATATTTTTATTTTAGAATTATATTCGAATTTTGAAGTTGAAGCCCTAGTGATTAGCAGCGCTGTAGGGGCTAGAGGACGCAGGCTGTTCGCTGCTCGTTCTGTGAGTCGAGGAGAACGAGCGTCCCGCTAAGACTCTACTCAGCACTTTTCACGGCTTGTATTCTTACACAGCTGAATCAATGACCTCAAGTTTTCAATTAAATTACGGATTATAATACAACTTGTATGTAGTAATAAGCATTTTTATCGGGTATAGCTTCTTTAAGTACTCACAATTTAATATCTAGATGCCATTTTTCAACTGAAAATCTGACGCCAGTGTTAGATTTATTTGTCTGTTTCGACAAAAAACTCTCCTTCAAGGCTTTCATAAACCAAGCAACTAAAACGGCATATTTCCACTTGCGGAACATCGCTAAAATCAGGGATATCCTTTAAGTGACGAAAAAACGAATTCACGGTTTTGTCACCTTTAGGTTTGACAACTGTAGCGCCCCCTGCAGGCAGTGTGCCCTAAACCCTTTGAAGAGCTTCCAGCTCTTTAGGATTTGGTTCGGTTGTTTATCCGGTCATGTCTTTGTCTGGTCTTGGAGTCTGCGTGTATGGGACCCGGTCCGCTGCATCTTCAACCTTAAGTTCTAGGCTAGGTTAAAACAGTCCTCCTCAGTTTAGCATATGGTAAGGAGGGAAGACTTAGGGAAGGCTAAACTCCTTATGGTGCTTTCAGACTGGCAACGCTGAAACGTACGTTTTCTAGTTTTCAGACGCAGGGGTCTTCACACCACAGGTCTTGGCGTGCGCCGGAACTAGCCGGCGGCTCTGATGCTAACAGAGTTTAGCTAGCGGCTTCTTGTGTACAGATCTTCTCCAATAATGCAGCTTTGCAGCGTGTCTGTGTTCAGAGACCTGCCACAGACTTTATATAACAGTAGTTTTTGGCTGTTTACAGTATGTTCAGTCTGCTCGCTCAGTCCGCTAATGTCCCCGTGATCACTTTGCGGCTCTCAGATTGGTTGCTGCACGAACGTCCCGAGGAAAGGTTGAGCAAAATCCATCTCCTGCGTTCCTCCCCTTCGACTTCCCAGCGCGGTCCGTGCGTACATTCCCAGGCGTTCATGCGTTTTGATGCTCGAACGCGCGTCATTGACTTTGCATTGAAAGCCGACGCAACGTATGATCCGGTCTGAACGCACCATAAGACAGTCAGTCAAACTGCATAGGGAGTTAGTTTGCTGGAGAAGTATGGTAAGAGCACAATCCTCTCCTCCTTCCTACTTTATCTGTTTTGCATTATAAGGATTTTGACTGTAGATTGTTCATTGCTATACACCCGTCTGTTTCATGGTGCGACGACGGGACCTCTGAACCTGGCCTCCTCCATCTACACCTGTGGACTGCCCTGCCTGACCCGCCAGAAGATTTCAAAGTTCAACTATAGAAACAAATATGAAAATAAGTGGAATACAGCTGGAGTACTGTGTGTTTCATACATAGAAATAGTGTGGTTGTTCCAAAGTATTTCATTTGTTCATTTTCATCCCCTTTATTAGTCCATTTCTGGGTCAGGGGGGTGGCAATGAGAGCTACACCCAATGCTCATAGCACCAGTCCCTCTGATCCTCTGCGAGTGGTGGGTCTACAGGAAGATGGCTGCTCCGTCAACGGTGACACAGCCTTGGTGTTTCAGCGGAGACTTCGGCTAATGTGGGGGTTAAGTGTCTTGCCCAAGGACACAACAACAGCAGAAAATGAGTGGTAGCAGTTGGAGTAGGTCTTGTGGGGGGGAGAAAACCCACGACCTTCAGGGCCATTGGCCAATGCTCTACTAACTGAGCTACTGTCGCCGCATTCCACCGTAACAAAGTCTTGTAAAACTTAATTGTTGCTAACAAATCAGACCATAACATCCTAAACGTCATCCTAATACAAAAACAAACAACAGGGCTTAGATAAGACAAAAAAGTAAAGAAAGCTAGTGTCACATGGGTAAAAACAGGTTCTTCGGACCCGGATTTAAAAAGGACCACTGGATTAAAAGCGAATTAAAAGCAATTTATTATAAAATACATTAAAAACAAGTAAATGAAAGCAATAAAAACCTAAGCTAAAACAGGCTAAAACGGAGGCTAAAACGCAGGCTAAAACACAGGCTAAAACACTTTCCCACGGCCTGGGCCGCCAGACCACGGGGCTCTCCCCTCCCGTCTGGCTCCCGTGTCTCGTTCTCAATCCCGGGACCGGGCCGCAGTCCCGCCAGCCGCTCGCCGACCACGGGTCGCCACCGGGCACCCGCGGGGGAGAGCCGGCACATCCCGGTCGTTGGGCCTAGCCCGGGCGCGCACGCGCCAATGCGCTATCAGTGCGCGCCTCACCGGTGCCATTCTCCCCGCTGGCCTCAGTGCCCCGTGGTCTCTGGCTGGCGGTGCTCGTCCTTGGCCCGGTCCCATGTCCTCCTCCTCTGGACCGGCTCTGCCCTCCTCTCTTCCTCTCTCTGTGTCTGTCTGTCCGTCTCCTCTCTGCCCCCCCCATCTCAGTCTTTTATTCTCAAGGCGCAGGTGTCTTGATTGCTCACGTGGAGAGCCGGGGTGCTTCAGGTGGTGCCAGTTAAAAATCAATATTAAAAACACACAAACACAACATGCATAAAATATGAATAAAACCATATTAAAACCCGCCACCCATTTTGCACCCCCTGACACTAGCACTGCTTGATTACCACATGTTTGGGCTGTAGACTTAGAACCTTCTGCAGATGTATCACCCTCTCAACAGGATTCTTAAATCAAATGAAAACACTTGGATACATTTTTATGATGCTGTATTTATTTTGTTTATTTCATTATGCAGATGTTTGCTGGGTTGTATTTCTTCGTCGAGAGGATCCAGAGTCTGAATAGTTTGTGGAGGGAGAAGTCTGCGCTTTATAAATTGCCACGCAGCAATGGATTAAGCGGAAGACTGGGACGGATGAAGTAGTGGCTAGAACATGTTAGATTGATTCATTCATTGATCCAAATCATCATTCCAAAATATCACGGCTAGAGCAGAGATGTTTCCTCTTCCATTGGGGCAGGTTTCTTGTAAATGCACAGACGGCCTTACCCTGCACGCCTGAAAGAAGAAGACCGTCTCCCCTCTCTCCACTTACTTTGGTTTGTTGACCTTAGACAATGTTTTGAGTCAATCTAATCTAGCATTCTAAACCCCAACCTCCCTCCTCTCTACCCCCGGCCCCTGTATGTGTGTAGCACCTCAACCCGTTAGCTTAAACGGGGTCAAGATGCAAACACTACAGTGGTGTCCGGAGGTGATTACTCCCAACACTTCCACCAGCTCCTCTTCTTCGTCTTCTTCTTAATCTTGTCCTGCTCATTTTGTATCTCTGTTTTCAGGGCCTTGTTCTCAGCTTCAGACTTTTTCAGTTTTCTTTGTATCTCTCCAAGTTCACCCACATTCTTCAGGTTTTCCACCGCGTCTTGAATATGGTATCTCTCCGCCTCGTCCAACTGCTCCTCCAGATCCTGACTTGTTCTTTCTAGGTCCTGGATCTTCTGCTGCTGGTGTTGCTGGAGCTTCTTCATCTTCGCAAGTTCAGATTCCAGCTCTGTATTTCTAACTTCATCTTCTAAATGTTGCTGGTTTGCTTTGTCCAGTTTTTGTTGCAGATGTACTGTAGCATCCTCCAAGTCCACACAGTGATCCTTTAGATGGATGTAATTCTCCAGGAGGTCTCCCACATAAGCATTGACCTTGTTTTGAAACTCCCGAGCCAGATCCTTGAACTCTTTGTTCTTCTTCTTGAGCAGATCCTTCCCAAAGTCGATGAGGGTGTCTCTCTGCTCCAAGAACTCCTTCAGTTCATCTACTGTCCTCTGGAGGGCGTTTCTCTCTAGATCAGTCTGTGTGAGTTCCTGTTCTGTCAGTTCCTGCCGCTTCAGTTCGTCTTTCAATTTGGAAACTTCATCCTCAAGCTTCTCATTTCGATCCTGGTCTTGCTGATGCTGCTCGTCTGCTTGGTCCAGCTGGTCTCGCAGATAGGCCTGGTCTTTCTTTATAAAGACACTGCAATTCTGGAGTTCAATATTTTCCTTCATGAGGTCTCCCACATAAGCATTGACCCTGTTGCGGACCTCCCGAGCCAGATCGTTGGTGTCTTTGTCCTTCTTCTTGAGCAGATCCTTCCCAAAGTTCTGTCAGTTCCTGCCGCTTCAGTTCGTCTTTCAATTTGGAAACTTCAGCCTCAAGCTTCTCATTTCGATCCTGGTCTTGCTGATGCTGCTCGTCTGCTTGGTCCAGCTGGTCTCGCAGATAGGCCTGGTCTTTCTTTATAAAGACACTGCAATTCTGGAGTTCAATATTTTCCTTCATGAGGTCTCCCACATAAGCATTGACCCTGTTGCGGACCTCCCGAGCCAGATCGTTGGTGTCTTTGTCCTTCTTCTTGAGCAGATCCTTCCCAAAGTCAATGAGGGCGTCTTTTTGCTCCAAGAACTCCTTCAGTTCATTTACTTTACTCTGGAGGGCGTTTCTCTCTAGATCAGTCTGTGTGAGTTCCTGTTCTGTCAGTTCCTGCCGCTTCAGTTCGTCTTTCAATTTGGAAACTTCAGCCTCAAGCTTCTCATTTTGATCCTGGTCTTGCTGATGCTGCTCGTCCGCTTGGTCCAGCTGGTCTCGCAGATAGGCCTGGTCTTTCTTTAAGAAGACACAGCTATTCTGGAGTTCCATCTTTTCCTTCATGAGGTCTCCCACATAAGCATTGACCCTGTTGCGGACCTCCCGTGCCAGATCCTTGGTGTCTTTGTCCTTTTTCTGGAGCAGACCTTTCCCGAAGTCGATGAGGGCGTCTCTTTGCTCCAAGAACTCCTCGAGCTCATTAACTTTGGCGTCTCGCTCGTGGATAGTCTGCTGCAGCTCATTCAGTCTCTGCTTCTGTTCAGCGTTGACTTTCAGCTGCTCTTCCAGGGTTTTTTCAACCTCAAGAAGGCGAGAGATCTCTTCATGAACAACCATGATCTCTGTGTTACCGTTACCTTGAACTTCCTGTCTTCTTACTTTGCTTGAAGAAATGTCCTCTCTTGTGTCTGGGGGGGTGTCTCTGCTCTGGGTCCAGGCCTGGCCTCTCTCCCATCTCAACGAATCCGGAGATGACATCACCGTGTTCCAAATGACATGTCAAAGGGTCGCCATGGCAACAAAGCCCTTTGTAAATACCATACATTGTGGGATCAATAAAGTTTTCTTATCTTATCTCATCTGCAAGGTTGCTATGGATACTTTTTTATTTTATTAGTTTAGTTGACAGGGACATTGTGCATTAATAAAACATTACTGTAAATGCACCAGAATTAGCCAAGCAGGCTATTTTTCATCTGCAGTCCCTGGACAGGTGTACATTGTCTCTCTAAAGATAAAAGTCATACAATAATAAAATACAGAAAACACAGACAGTCAGGGAGAACAAGCACACATAAATCATACAATAAAAACACAGTTCAACTTCACATAAAAATGTATTATTATTTATTATTATTTACAACGCAATGGGTAAATTGCCTGGACTAATGGTTACATGTCTGCTGTGTTATTCAGTTAGTTTTTCAGATGTAATTTGAATAGTGAGTATGGTGTGATATCTCTGATGTTTGCTGGGGTGGAGTTCCAGTCTCTGGCAGCGGTTGCAGAGAAGGCTCTGACTGAAGGCCTCAGGTTCTCAGAGGAACCGGGCAGTCCCCTCTGGTTCCCCTTGTGCTGCCCCTCTGGTTCCCCTCTGAGACACAGCGGTGTTCCTTATGTGGACAAACTGACTGAGTGGAGGAGATGACGGATTGTGGATTATTTTATATGTTAAAGATTTGAATACTTAATGAGATTGTCACAGTTAAAAAGCCTGTGCTTTTGAAGAATATTGCAGTGATGATGTCGTAAGGGTTTTTCGTCCAGTGCTTTTATTGTCCGTTTGTATAATGATTCTATTGGTTTTAATGTTGTTTTATTTGCCTGTGACCAAGTTGTTTAACAGTAAGTGATGTGAGATAGGACCATGGAATGCATAAACATTTTTGCTGCTTGCAGAGATAGTTGTGACCTGATGAACCGGACATTTGATAGATTGAATTTGACTTGCTTACAGACCTTTTTCACTTGTGTTTTGAATGTGAGATTTGAATCTATTGTGATGCCCAGATATTTGTATTCTGAAACCATTTTAAAATTTTCACCTGCAATTAAAACATCTGACCATTGATCTGTGGTATTGGACTTGGAAAAAAACCATAGACTGTTTTTATTAACGTTGAGTTTTAAGCATGACTGATTTAACCAATCTTTAATATGGACCAAAGACTGTGTGAGTTTTCCAGCCACTTGTGATGGGTGTTTGCCATGTGCATAAATAACTGTCATCAGCATACATTTGAATGCTAACGCAACTAGGACAGACAGAAGGAAGGTCATTTATATAGAGGGAAAATAACAATGGACCCAAATTTGAACCTTGTGGAACACATGTTTTTAATGAAAGAGGAGGAGAGTTGTAGTCCTTGATTCTGACTGAAAGCGATTTGTCAGATAGGATTCCATCCATTTTATCGCCTCTGAGGAGAAATTGAATTTGCTTAGTATTTAATGGTTGACTGTGTCAAAAGCTTTTTTGAAATCAAGAAAAACTGCCCCAACCATATCACCTTTGTCCAAATGCTGTTTTATCTTTTCAATAAAAAAAACACTCCCCCCTGGACTGCCACCTTAACGTGGTGGGGGAGTTTGAGTACTCGGATGATCCTGGGAGCTATGCTGTCTGGGGCTTCATCCCCCTGGTAGGGCCTCCCATGGCAGACAGGTCTCAGGTGACGAGTCAGACGAAGGGCGGTCCAAAAACCACCATGGACAGCACAATAAATAGACCGGTGACGTCGCCCGGCAAGCCGCAGCCGGGGCACCACCCTGGAGCCAGGCCTGGGGTTGGGGCTCGTATGCGGAGATCTCGGCGACCCAGGCCGCACACACAACATCTGGCTCTTGGGACATGGAACGTCACCTCACTGGGGGGGAAGGAGCCCGAGCTCGTGGGGGAGGTTGAGCGATACCGACCTAGAGATAGTCGGCCTCACCTCCACACACAGCTTGGGCTCTGGAACCCAACTCCTTGAGAGGGGTTGGACGCTCCACTTTTCTGGAGTTTCCCGCGTGGAGAGGCGGCGAGCTGGGGTGGCCATTCTCATTGCCCCCCATCTCAGCGGCCACGTGTTGGAGTTTTCCCCGGTGAATGAGAGGGTCGCGTCCCTCCGCCTCCGTGTGGGGGACAAGTCTCTCATTGTTGTGACGGCCTACAGGCCTAACAGCAGTGCAGAGTACCCGGCCTTCTTGGAGTCCTTGGGAGGGGTACTGGACGGTGCACCGCCGGGGACTCCGTTATTCTCCTGAGGGACTTCAACGCCCATTTGGGAAACGCCAGTGACACTTGGAGAGGGGTGATCGGGAAGAACGGCCCCCCTGATCTAAACCCGAGCGGTGTTCAGTTGTTGGACTTCTGTGCCAGTCACAGTTTGTCCATCACGAACACCATGTTCGAGCACAAGGGTGTCCACCAGTGCACGTGGCACCAGGACACCCTAGGCCGGAGGTCGATGATCGACTTTGTTGTCGTATCATCTGACCTTTGACCGCGTGTCTCGGACACTCGGGTAAAGAGAGGGGCGGAGCTGTCAACCGATCATCACCTGGTCGTGAGTTGGATCCGCTGGCAGGGGAAGAAGCCGGTCAGACCTGGCAGACCCAAGCGTATAGTGAGGGTCTGCTGGGAACGTCTCGCTGAGCCTCCTGTCAGACAGACTTTCAACTCACACCTCCGGGAGAGCTTCTCCCAGGTCCCGGCGGAGGAGGGGGACATGGAGTCCGAGTGGACCATGTTCTCTGCCTCAATCGCCGATGCGGCTCGTAGCTGTGGTCGCAAGGTCTCTGGTGCTGGTCCCGGCGGCAACCCCCGAACCCGGTGGTGGACACCGGCAGTAAGGGATGCTGTCAGGCTGAAGAAGGAGTCCTATCGAGCCATGATGGTTCGGGGGACTCCTGAGGCAGCTGTCCAGTACCGGCAGGCCAAGCGTGCCGCGGCCCGGGCTGTTGCAGAGGCAAAAACCCGGGACTGGGAGGAGTTCGGAGAGTCCATGGAGCATGACTATCGGTCGGCCTCGAAGAGATTCTGGCAAACCATCCGGCGCCTCAGGAGGGGGAAGCAGTTCTTTGCCAACACTGTGTACGGTGGGGGTGGAGGGCTGCTGACCTCGACTGGGGATATTGTCGGGCGGTGGAAGGAGTACTTTGAGGTTCTCCTCAATCCCCCCGACACGTCCTCTGTTACAGAGGCCGAGGCTGAGGATGTTGGGGCAGATACATCCATCTCCCTGGCTGAGGTCACCAAGGTGGTTGGCAGCCTCCATGGTGGCAAGGCTCCGGGTGTGGATGAGATCCGTCCTGATTATCTAAAGTCTCTGGATGTTGTAGGACTGTCTTGGCTGACACGTCTCTGCAACATCGCGTGGCGATCGGGGGCGGTGCCAATGGAGTGGCAGACCGGGGTGGTGGTCCCTCTCTACAAGAAGAGGGACCGGAGGGTGTGTTCCAATTATCGTGGGATCACACTCCTCAGCCTCTCTGGTAAGGTCTACTCCAAGGTACTGGAAAGGAGGCTACGGCCGATGGTCGAATCTCGGATTCAGGAGGAGCAGTGTGGTTTTCGTCCCGGTCGCGGAACACTGGACCAGCTCTATACTCTCCATCGGATACTCGAGGGTTCATGGGAGTTCGCCCAACCTGTCCACATGTGCTTTGTGGATTTGGTGAAGGCGTTCGACTGTGTTCCCCGGGGTGTCCTTTGGGGGGTTCTCCGGGAGTACGGGGTCGGAGGTCCTCTGCTGAGGGCCATCCGATCCCTGTATGACCGGAGCCAGAGCTGTGTTCGCATTGCCGGCAGTAAGTCAGACCTGTTCCAGGTGAATGTTGGCCTCCGACAGGGCTGCCCTTTGTCACCGGTTCTGTTCACTGTGTTTATGGACAGAATTTCTAGGCGCAGCCAGGGGTCGGAGGGGGTCCGGTTCGGAGACCACAGGATTTCATCTCTGCTGTTTGCGGACAATGTTGTCCTGTTGGCTCCAACGAACCAGGACCTGCAGCATGCACTGGGGTGGTTTGCAGCCGAGTGTGAAGCGGCTGGGATGAGAATCAGCACCTCCAAATCCGAGGCCATGGTGCTCGAACGGAAAAAGGTGCCTTGCCCTCTACAGGTGGGTGGAGAGGTCCTTCCTCAAGTGGAGGAGTTCAAGTATCTCGGGGTCTTGTTCACGAGTGAGGGAAGAATGGAGCGTGAGATTGACAGTCGGATCGGTGCAGCGTGCGCAGTGATGCGGTCGCTGTGTATCGGACCGTTGTGGTAAAGAGGGAGCTGAGCCGAAAGGCAAAGCTTTCGATTTACCGGTCAATCTTCGTACCCTCCCTCACCTATGGTCATGAGCTTTGGGTAATGACCGAAAGAACGAGATCGCGGATACAAGCGGTTGAAATGAGCTTCCTCCGCAGAGTGGCTGGGCGCTCCCTTAGAGATAGGGTGAGGAGCTCAGTCACACGGGAGGAGCTCGGAGTAGAGCCGCTGCTTCTCCACGTCGAGAGGAACCAGTTTTCAGCTCCCTCTTTACCACAACGGTCCGATACAGCGACCGCATCACTGCGCACGCTGCACCGATCCGCCTGTCAATCTCACGCTCCATTCTTCCCTCACTCGTGAACAAGACCCCGAGATACTTGAACTCCTCCACTTGAGAAAGGACCTCTCCACCCACCTGCAGAGGGCAAGGCACCTTTTTCCGGTCGAGCACCATGGCCTCGGATTTGGAGGTGCTGATTGTCATCCCAGCCGCTTCACACTCGGCTGCAAACCGCCCCAGTGCATGTTGCAGGTCCTGGTTCGTTGGAGCCAACAGGACAACATCGTCCGCAAACAGCAGAGATGAAATCCTGTGGTCTCCGAACCGGACCCCCTCCAAGCCCTGGCTGCGCCTAGATATTCTGTCCATAAATACAGTGAACAGAACCGGTGACAAAGGGCAGCCCTGTCGGAGGCCAACATTCACCGGGAACAGGTCTGACTTACTGCCGGCAAT